TTCTTCCCAAGAGGATCCTCGTGAGGTATTCATTATGCTTTCTTTATTTGAATGTCACTGAAGGCGCCGACCTTTCATCCTTGATGCAACTACGTACAAGTTCTCATTTTTTGGTCTACCCTGGTTAACTCCTCAGGTTGCTGCTGCTAAAGCAGATTTGAATTATATTGGCTTGGATGGAGAAATTGGTTGCATGGTTAATGGTGCTGGATTGGCAATGGCTACGATGGATATAATTAAGCTCCATGGAGGAACTCCAGCCAATTTTCTAGATGTGGGTGGAAATGCTACTGAAGGCCAGGTATACGTGGTTTCTTGATAATACATGTGAAGAATAGTTGTTTTTGTTGCTCATTTGCATGTTTCCAGCTTTTCTTTTTGTAAGAACTGAACAAGTGTTTTGTTAGTGTGAAGTCTCATTTTTTGTCTTAATGATGTGTTAAAATGTTGAAAAGTTGGGAGTCCACAAAAAGTTGAAAGTTGAATTTCTCTCTTGTACTTGGAGTAGGTTGTGGAGGCCTTCAAAATTTTGACTGCAGATGAGAAGGTGAAGGCAATTTTGGTGAACATCTTTGGAGGAATAATGAAGTGTGATGTGATAGCCAGTGGTATTGTTAATGCTGCCAAACAGGTTAGTATTGTTTTTTCTCTGATTGAGGGTTTTGTTTGCCCAACAAGTTCTCTCTTTTAGGATCTTTTTTTTTGGTGTCTGTTTTGTCCCATTTATCTAACACCTCCTCTACTCACCTCTCTGTTCCTTTTGAGTAAGAATTCTATTCTGTTCGCTCTAAAAGTTTCACTTCTCGCCCCATTCCTTTATGAAGGAAAAGATATGGAGAAAGGAAAACACAGAAATGTTAAAAGGATAATTGTGTCAGTGGTTCTACTTATTAACCCCAAAAAAGTGTTAATGGTTCAACTTTATCCTTCTGCAATTAGTCTCTGTGCGTAGTGTGCTGATTCTTATGTGTTTGTGGTTAAGGTTCAACTGAAAGTGCCTGTGGTTGTTCGTCTGGAAGGCACCAATGTTGAACAAGGGAAGAGAATTCTGAAGGTAAATTGCTAACTTTGTCCTCCGGGCATGAACTTCGCTTTGCCCTAGCAGTTGCTATTTTGGTTTCCTGTAGGAAAAGCCAATCTCAGGTAGTAATCAACTTCTTCCCTGGTTTGTATTGTGCAGGAAAGTGGCATGACACTTATAACTGCCGAGGATTTAGATGATGCGGCTGAAAAAGCAGTCAAAGCCTTAGCCTAGTTGAAAGAACAAAAAAGATACAGTAACAAAATTTGTTATAATTCTAATTTGTAAGCCTTTTTTGGTTGGCTCCCTTTTTTGCCAGGAAAGATCTGAAATGTGCAATTCTTGATTTTACAATAAAACAATGAACTTCACTTTTTGTTAAGACTTGGAATAAGCTTGGTGCTTCCTTTTATTAATTCATTTATATCATTGGTATTATGACCCAGCTTTCACACACCTAGATTAATGAAACACTAGTATTAGCTATCTTTCACAAGAACATGTTCTAATACTGGAAGGCGGATTTACATAGAGCTTTGTGGGTGCTGGAGCACCCATTAACCCCGACGCAGAGTATGTATAATGACATAGAAAATATGACGTAGGCAAAAATATAATAAGAAAGCACCCAGCAACCAGAACGTATGATGGTTGCTTTGGTAAGGGATGGGTACTGAGAGCGGGGGTGGCGAGGGTTCGATCCTGCCAGTCTACCCTAATTCTATGTGCATTTTACTCTTTATAGTTTAGGGTCTTATTGTCGTTTCTTTTCAGCATAGGGCAATTTTTTGCCCCAAGGCCCAAATTAGTTCCTTTTTGGAATTTTTACATATCTATACACTATTGAAAATTTTATTACAAAAAATGTCCTTTTTTGGTATTTACCCGACCTAAATACATTTTAATTATAAGATATATACAATCCACATTAAAAGGCTCATAAATCTATTATTTGTGCCTCAAGGGATTTAGTTACACCCTTTTTCTTTTTTTTGCCGCCTACTCAATTGCATCTTCCCGGCTCTAAATTTTGCAACATAATTTGCTTTTTCTATCAATCTGTTGTCTCTGTATTGTGACTGCACTGCTATCTTCCCCAGTAATAATGATAAGAAAGAAAGGAACTTTGCATTTGAGGAGACATGAGTTGATTATCCAAAAGCTCTCCTTTTCACTTTTGCCTTTTCAATCAATCCATTTTCTGTATTTGTTAGTTCTCTAAGAGGAGACATTTTTCTTAGAGAAGAGATCGCTAAAGAACACCGCCTAAATTCTCTCTTCCAATTAACTTGGAAAGGTTTACAAGTATGGAAGATGGAAACAGAGTATCAAACTAAGTTCAATGATTGGAAAATACAAAATGGAGAAATAGAAACTGCGACGGAGAGATCGAGGGAGAGCGTGGGGATCTCCTCTCTCACACACACACATACACACTTTTCCCTACTATTTTTCGTATTCTTGTAAAGAGAGAATTTCTTCAACCAAGAAATTTGTGGTGGTTGGCTTTCGTTGTATTTCGTCAATAGCGCGCCAAAATTAAATTATTTCTTTGATCACTAAAGAATGGCAGATTTATTACATGGAATGTAAAGAATTGTACCAGAAAAAATATGGAGTATAAAAATTGTTAAAATCACAAGTATAGTTTTAGATAATGAAAATTATTTCAAAGATTCTGGTTGTCCATCTTGCAAAATTCCCAATAGACCCAGAAATTTCAATAACATACATTGATATATACTCTGAACTGTAGTATCATGATTATTACATGAGGGCTTCGATTAGATCGATGATGGTTAATATATAATGGCATGGTACAACATACAAATAAAAATAAATTACATAGTATACAACTTTCATACATTATTTCTACCCAATTATATACAACTATAATATCATATCACTAAAATACAATTTTTATATAAATATTATACAATATGTCTTTTGTATATTTTGTATCTGATTTATACATAGTAAAAATAAATTTCATACAACTTATTATATATTATACAACTTATCTACTATTTTCACACATTATTTCTACACAGTTATATACAACTACAGTATCCTACAACTTAAATATATTTTTTATACAATATTGTTCAACTTTTATACAATATTTAAATAAAAAAATATATATATATATAAACAACATAATATAATTTTTCTATAATTTTACTACAACTTTACTACAATTTCTGTAGTATAATGTATGCCATGTCTTCTTCTTCTTCTTCTTCTTCTTCTTCTTCTTCTTCTTCTTCTTCTTCTTCTTCTTCTTCGACGAGTTTCAATTTGAAATTCATCCAAAATCAAGTCTAATCTTCACCAAAACACTCTCAAAATTGAGATATAAACTCCAAACAATATTCTCAACTGTTTGCAACAACACCCAATCCAAACAAATAATGGTTTTTGAAAACCCAAATTCGAATTCAAAGCTTCAAAGCTTTTTAATGGTTGTCAATAGTGGAATTGCTGCTCTCTTTTCCTTTGCTTTGCATTACTGGAATTAGGGATTGAGAGATAGAGAAAGACGTAGAGAGAATTCCCAATTGTTTGCAACAACATCCAATTCAAACAATAATGTCTTTTGAAAACCCAAATTCGAATTCAAAGCTTCAAAGCTTTTTAATGCCTGTCAATGTTGGAATTGCTGCTCTCTTTTCCTTCGCTCTACATTACTGGAATTAGGGATTGAGAGATAGAGAGAGACATAGGGAGAGCAGGGGCGGATCTACATGCTAATTTTGGGTGCTCAAGCACCCATTATCTTTGACAAGATTTAGTAAATTTGTATAGGTAATTATAAAAATATTTAGGTAAATATTGATTGAGCACCCATAACTAAACTCTTTTTTCCTCTTCTTTCAAATTTTTTATCAGTGAGCACCCATGACTTTAAAGTCCTGGATCCGCCACTGAGGGAGAGAAAGAGAGCGCAAGAGAGAGAGCATGAGGGAGAGAGAATAAAGATGGAAAATAATTGATTCCTAATATAAACAGATACTCATTTAATTCCTAAAGTGTATATAATTGGTAAATTTGTATATAGGAGGTAATTAAATTGAAACTTGAGCAGGAAGGGTAATAAAGTTTTCAATAGTGTATAGGTATGTAAAAATCTTTTCTTCTTTTTTATTTCTTTTCTTTATGGACTTTATTGTGGGCTACTTGATTAGTTCTTTTTTTACTTTTCCTTTTTTCTTTATCTGATTGATTATAGAAGATGATAGAAAAAATTAGCTTCCAAAAATCTCCAAGCCCTTCTTGAAATTTTATATGGTTATTTAATTTGATATATAGAACATAAGATATTTGCAAGTGTAAGCAATAATACTGTTATATTATCTTTTTTTTTTAATATAAAAAGTCCAGTACAGTTGTGGCTTGTAAACAGAAGTCTCTTTTTAATGATAATATTAAGTGTAATTTTCTTATTTAACTCTTTTATTGTCGTGTTCAATAGTTGTGCACTTATACTATGTGTTCTATAGTAACTGTACGTTAAAAAAAGTAAAGCATTCACGAACTTAAAATCCTGGATCTGTCACTGTTGGAAGTGTGTGTATATATAGATGAACACTCATTAGTGCAATGTATTTAAGATGTTGTAGGGTTTTAAATAAGTGCAATGTATTTAAGATGTTGTAGTGTTGTAGTGTCTTGAGCCGGGGGTCTTTCGGAAATAGCCTCTCTACCCCTTCGGGGTAGGGGTAAAGTCTGCATACACATTATCCTCCCCAGACCCTATTAGTGGGATTTCACTGTGTTATTGTTGTTGATGTTGTTGTTAGTGTTTTAAATAAGATCTCTCTGAGGTAGAGGTAAGGTCTGCGTACACACTACCCTTTGCAGACTTACTTGTCGGAGAATTCACTAAGTTATAGTTGTTGTTGTGTTTTAAATAACCAAAATATACATATATAAGATTTAACATCTTTCCCTTTCCCTATATTCTAAAAGAGATTTTACATTAAAAAAAGAAAAGAATCTGTATAATGGACAAGGTATGTAAAGGTTAAATTGTACATAGTCTATGAACACGTAAATACAACTTTTTGAGGTTTCCAAACATGTATGGAGTTTACTAAACTATCAAAAAAGAGAAAAGATAAAATGCATTTGAGCACTACATTTTTTATTTTTATTTTTTTCTTGTGTTTTGTTATGAAATGATGCTTTCACTGTTTCTCGAATCCTGTATTGAAGCTTCAGATCCCTGGTCGGGTCTCGACCCGTGATCCGATGGTGGTGCTGTACTAGACGAAGAAGTGCCTTTAGACTTCGACGATCGGGATCCGGCGGCAGAACCACCGGGGACGGATTCCTTAGACTTCTTCCGCCGTGATTTTTTAGGGATGTCCGGGAGATCTCTCGCCGGAGATTCGGAGCCGGCGGCTGAATCTAGCTGATTTTGTCGGCCGTGTTTGGAACCGTCAGTAGAGTCCTTCCGACGGTGTCGCCGGGACTTGGAAGACTCTCTCTTTGGAGAATCAGTGCCACCGTTTTCTTTAGAAGAATGACGCCGTGATGACTTTGGTGGTTGTTCTGATTGATCTCCGGCGGAAGAAGAATTTGCATTTCTGGACCTTCGGTTTGAATCTGCAGTTCCATTATATTGCTCGGATCATAATTAATTATAATAGAAGCATGCAATCCATGCATGAGCATTAGCATAGGCTACATGATATGCTGATCAAGAATTTTAAGTTTATAAACTCATACAACAATATCAAGTTAATATACAATAATAATCGGATCAATAAACCGAATTTCGAGCTAAATAATTTTATACATTTAATAAATTTTTTAGTATAAATATAAGGTTTAAACAAAAGTTAGTGGGCATCAACATATAACCTTTGCAATAAATCTACCCATGGGCCATAGAGTATTGTTGTATCTACCACTTTTTCGGGACAATGACAAATGAAGTAGGATGATCTATGACTTATGAGAGACGAGAATTCGAATTTTGGTCGAGACAAATAATACAGTTTTTTTCCATCTACCTAAATTTTGGTTGACAATTATTTAATATTTGTACTGGTAGAATATATAGCAAATACTCCATAGAATTAATCGAGTACCGTGCGGTTGTTCTGAATACCATAGTTATTAAATGAATAACCCATTATGGCTCTTCACAAGTAGAGGTGGAGCCAGAATTTAAAGTTTATAGGTTCTGAATTTGTCATGGAAGTCATAGCATTCGCAATTAAATATTTATACAAATTTGATGAATTCCCTAATATTTGAATAAAAATAAGTGGGATAGCCGAAATCGCCCTCACAAGTGATAAGCAGGATTTCTATTAGGGAAATTCTACTAAGCGTTCTTATTTGGGTATAAAGGAATTGTTCGGAGCAGGTGTTAATTAGATTAAAGGTTGAAGACTTGAAGTAAATGAACAATGCCAAGGTTGAAGGGCTGACATACAAACCTTCAGAAACCCATTTTATTTCAGGATTCTCTTTATGATCTCCTGGAGGAACCAAAGGAGCTGACTGAAATTGTCCTGGTCCGTTGAATTCTTTCATCTGCACATGACCACAGTAACATGGATCTAAGGTCAGTTATGCGAGTTCAATTGAATTTATTACTCTACTTTAGTTTTAATCTGTGTATGCAAAACTTTTAAAACGTACATTATAAGAAAATACATAATCTGTACCTGTATACCGACCCTATTCCTAAGTTGAAAAAGAATTATTACCCAGCTTGGATTATCTGTTGATGGTCCATCCCATCCTATATGGGCAACATGCTTTACATCTGTGGGAAAACCAATCTGCATTTCTTTTTCTTTCTCCTCATCTGCATCAACATACATATAATACTAGTAATTATTATTATATATAAATATGTGTATGTATATTGTGTGTTCAGATTGGTGATGGGGTGCACGTAAAATTCTAACAATCTCACAAGTCACAACATTGGGTCAGCATTTTTTTTTTCCGGTTTGACCATCTGATATATGAAGCTCCTTGACCTAATTAGTTCGGATTTAAGTCCATTAAGAAGGTAAAACATTCTCTATCGAAAAGTTGTTCATTCCCAGGTCTTGAACTTGGGAACTCGGATATAAATTCTCTTTACTTGATTACACTTTGTTCATTTTGTATTAACCTAATTCAACACAATTACAATAGTTTTATAATTATCGTCAATCTATCGCAACCTTCCTTATCCCATAAACATTTCCAACTAAATAAAGGTGGAGAAAAATGAAAAAAATTGATAGAATGAATGATCATTCCTCACCAAATATTTGAGAAATGTAACGAAGGCCTTTTAGAAGGCCTTTCACCTTCGTAGACATCCTCAGCTGCCAATGTTTGCTTTTAGGTCTTAAGATTTACAAACCTTTCTTCAGTAGAAAGGAAGAAAGTAAATGAATCTCATAGATTCAGCAATCCATGCAAAGGAGAATTTGATATTACTCAGAATTAACGAAAGTACTTTGAATTTGGATACAGAAACTCAAAAATAAAAAATAATTTCAAGAAAATGGACTCAAACCCTCAAATTTTTTAGGTTTGACTCCTCTCTAATTATCACAAAGCAAAATGCTGTTAAAGCATTTCTTTCATCCATTTAATGGCAATGAATTGCTGAACATTACTAACCAGACACATGTCCTATATTTAGGGATTAGAAACAAATTTTGTTCTTTTCATTTAATAAAGAAAACTCATTGCTTTTCAGTTTCGCCTCTATAAATTCTTTGGTCTTTTGATTTTAATTTTGTTGTCAATTTTTGTCGGATCAAATGCTGCAAAATAAAAGATTAAAGGGTAAAGGTGGAATTTCGACCATTAGGCTATAATTCTAATCCTACCCGCTTTGTTATAACTAGTTCTAAGGTTGCGCGTGTACCTCATACCAGTGAGTATAAATTTTTTAAAAATAATATAAATATAAATTTTGAGGTAAAATTCTATAGATACACCTGTAAAAATATATATATGAATAGTTTTATTTGATAAAAGTAAAAAAGTGGGGAGACAGACGGCAAAATGAACACGAGGGAATGAATATGAAGTGTTCCTAAGGTTATTCGACAATTGATATAGTGCTATTTCCATGAAAAAACAAGTAGGAATTTTGATTTAACTGTAAGCCCATCACATGAGAATTGAGAGTAACAACCTAACATGTTTTTTCTGTTGAAGGCAACAAATATTTATTAAACAACCAAGCCAAAATAGTTTTACATCATAGAAACACTATTGTTCTCTAAATGAGAAGCGTAAAAAAAACTTAACATTAAGGATAGGAATCCCAAATTTACACCTAATAGTATCTCTAAAGAACAAGAAAATCCTCAATGTTCTGATAGTATTGTGCCTAATATTGAATTAATGAAATAAAGATATATATATATACGTGTAGGACTAAAACTAATTTGAGGCTTTTGCTTCACACCAAGATAATGTATTCAAGAATAGATATAAATAGAATCTACACATGAGGGAGGATAGTTCTTCCTAGGTTATAAAAGTGCGATGAGCAGAGATTAAGAATATAATGAAAAAATTATAAATTTCGCTTTAAATTGTCGAAGACTTTCATCTTTGAAAAATGTTGAATATGTAGTTCAAGAAGTTGCATGTTACATTCTTTTTTCCATTTTTTATGAAATAGACAAATAAGCAAATAGAAATAATATTTTAAAACATTAATAAAATATTCTTTTGCAAGTCATATGAAATAAGCAAATTAATAGCAGTTACATAGAAGGTTAAATATCAAAGCAGTCATATAAATAAAATAAAAATTGGACAAGATTATTCTAGACAAAAAGATAGAGTTTTGCAAGGTACTCGATTACAGGGGCGGATGTAGAGCATGGAATACGGGTTTCCGGGAACCCAGTAACTCTTACGTAAACTCTGTATTTATATTAAAAAAATTACTAAATATTTGTAAATATCTAACTGTGAACCCAGTTATTATTGCATATTAATTTGAAATTACGGTAGGAACCCATAAGCCTCAAATCCTGGATTCGCCTTTGCTCGATTAGACTTTCCATGTATAAGAAATGAGTCAATAAAATATAGTTTCACTGAAAATACATACTTACAAGAACTATAAATTAGCACAACACTCGCAAAAACTAACAGTAACAAAAAAGTTACCTGATTTAACATTTGTAGATTGATTGCGTGCAAATAGTAAGCAGATTTGCCAAATAAAAGAACAATATTCATTTATTGAAAAAAAATTCAATAGACAATGATTTGACAGGGGAAAGAATTATTTAATTGACTTAGTTTTATAGAGTGATAGAAAAGATGACAAAAGGATGAATAGTAATAATTATTAGAAGCCGAAAAGACAAACATTGAATGGAATTCTAAAGGTTTGGGAGAATTTGCAATAATGTAAGGAAAATGAAAGGGCACCAAGGATTTGAATTGGCTTCACTAATTGATTGTACGGAAATTCATCTTCTTAATTATCAAGGTAATGCAAATTTATTTTTTTTGGAAAGTAATTTACTTTATAGTACAAGATATTATAGGAATAGTATTTAAGTGAAGGGTAGAATGATCATTCAAATTTTTATGGATATTTTCATCTTTCAACTTTTGACCTTATCTCCCACTTTTAGTATGACACACACACACACACACACATATATA